TTTAAAATTTCAAACAATAAAGGTTGCTATCTCCAGAAGTATATTTTTATTTCTTATTTCTGCAAGACGAATATCTGCTATCTCCCTATTGTGTCTGAAAAAAATGATGTAACACGAAATATTGAGTTATATTTTTTCCCAGCAAATAAAATTCTTATTTCTTTATCATATTAACACATTAAAATACTTCCTACATGTCTACATATTTTTTGTACCATTTTTTTGCTCTCCTGTAAAATTAGGAATAATGGAGTTTAGCAGTTTATCAAATTTCACCGACGATATGTAACTTCACAACCGTAGTTAACTTGCTTAATTTGGTAATGTTTTATTTTTTATAACTAAAAATACTTGGTACGAAGTAATCAAAACGGAGAACTTGTCTTAACCTAATAAGTTCTTTAACATTTTTTGTTCAAGTTATTCAAATAAATGGAGAGACATTTATTAATCATGGTTTAAAATTTATGTGGAATTTTCTATGTACATGTCGGCGATTAAACACACGGTACAGTGCTCATACAAAGTCTCCATTTTTGGATAATTTTAATTCATGAGCAGGTTTAAATTATAGAGGTTAAAAATCAGTTTGAGTATTTTCCAAGAGTTTGGTTTAGGTATGTGGATGATATACAGGATGATCCGAACTGTATTCCGGAAACTTCGGTAGTATATTCTGCAGATAAAAATAAGTAAAAAAGTTCGTATAAATGTATGTCCTAAAATGCTTAGTTTTAGAGATACAGGGTGTAGAAGTTTCATTTTTATTTCGATTTTTTCTAAACAATTTCTGAAATAATGTAATATTATATATATGCAACAATATTTGGATGCAAATTGGTGTCTGGCAGTTTTTTGACATGAGAAATTTGATTTTGATGTCAATATGACTCCTACTAGTAGAGGGCGCCACCTACGTATGTTTTAACTGTTTTGAAGCCTAATAACTTTTTGTCCGTACCTGTATAAAACTACCGAGTGAAAAAGTATACATCTCTGTGATTTTTTACTTAAAAAATATCTCTGTGTAAAAATCGCTACGAGCAACCGTTCTTAAGATATTTAGAACGGAAATAGTAAATACATGTCATTATTGACGAAAAATAAACACGTTGAGTAGTTAGTTATTTCGCTGAAATAATAAATTTGGGAAATTTTTATTTTTTTAAATTAATATTAATTTTTTCTGCAAAAAAAAATGATAAAACAGTTTCTGTTGAACATTTGGCACAAAAACATTTCAAATTTATGATTTGAGTCTAATAACTATTTAGTCAATATGTTTATGTCAGTGATGACAGGTATTGATAATTTCTATTCCAAATATCTCGAAAACCATTACTCGTAGCGGTTTTTACCTAGAGACCTTTTTCACGTAAAAAAAGTCGTAAATGTATATTTTTTTACTCAGTAGTTTTATACAGGTACAAACGAAAAGTTATTACTCTTCAAAACAGTTAAACAATATGTAGGTGGCGCCCTCTACAAATAGGAGTCATATTGACATCAAAATCGGATTTCTCATGTCAAAAAACTCCCAGACACCAATTTTCATTCAAATATTCACGTTACTTCAGAAATTATTTGGAAAAAATCGAAATAAAAATGAAAAAGATATAGAAACTTCTATATCCTGTATCTCCGAAACTAAGCACTTTGGGACATACATTTATACGAACTTTTTTACTTATTTTTATCTGCAGAATCGTTTTCTTTCCATTAAATTTACCTATTTTGTATTTGTATTTGTTTGAATAAAGTAAAAAAATACCGAGGGTGCCATTTAAAAATTAAAAGTTGTCATTTCCGGCGAAACCGACGACCGACGAACCTTAGTTCCCGGCGAAACGTTAGTGACCGAAAACAATTGAATATGTCAATCAATCCTGATTTATGTCATAATAACATACCAAATCTCTTTTTTTTCTGAAAACATAAAAAAGTTATAGGGGTGAGCTCGGGGGTGAGCCACTTTTGAAACTCAACCGGTATAAGATTAAGCAAATTTTGAAGTATAAATTGTGGAAAATTTGAAAGTTTGTTAACCTTTTCTACTAATTAAAAATTACTACCACCAATTTTGACTTTCAAAATCCTTCATTCAAAATTAGTGATTTCAATTAGCGTAGAAGTTAATTTCAATGTAAGCATTCAGAACTTCGAAATCGGTGGTAGTAATTTTTAATTTGTAGAAAAAGTTAACAAAATTTTAATTTTTCCACAAATTATACTTCAAAATTTGCTTAAACTTATAGAAATGAAAACTGTATTGTTTTATAAGCTAATAATTAGGCTTTCTCTATGAATACAACTGACTACCGTAAGCTGTTGCTAGGATATTCGATTAATTTTAATTGTTTTTTAGAAATTGTGAATGATCGTAAACTTTTAAGAATAAAATTTAACTAAAATCACTAATTTATTTCACTAATTTCGAGGTTCTGAATGAGGCTTTATATATAATATTGTTGAAAAGGTATCTCGGTGTAATAAGCTTGTTAAAAAAATCCAACAAGCTGAAAAAAATAATGAGTAACTTTAAGTGAAACTGTAGTAGCCCTCCTAAACGGTAAAGTACAAAACTATATTTTTTTTGCTCAACTGTAAATTCATTAATTATATCGAGGCTTTACAGACTTATGCATCTCAAAGTTACATACAATAATGTAGGTAACTGTAAATTAACATTACCTTATTCGGTTTACTCTCCATAATAGAAAATGTTTTACAGTCCGTGAAAAAGTTTTTATTTTCAAATATAATCGCCATAAAAAACCCTAATTAACCGAAATATAGATTTTTGAGTTATATTACCTGCATATACGAGAGTTGTAATATACAGTTTCATGCAGCATAGAGGCACAGAGATAAAACCCGCATCATATAGATGTTTGTATCCAGGACTTTATATTCACTTTGAATTGGATATCAAATTGAAGGATTTTTATTATAAAGTGGTTAAAATAATTACAGCAGCAAAACTAATTTTTAACGATTAAATCTATTCATTATTTTTAATGGAAGAATTTTTAATCTTTATCAATACCTTAGTAATTAATCAATAATATATAAGTAGTATTGATGCTACCTGAAAGAGTGGAAAACTGTATTTTTCTGTGAAGTCCATTAATTGATAACATATATTTAAAAAAACAAAATGCATTACCAAAGTCTAAGTTTTAAATAACATTTTTATTTCGTAAACTTTGCTATTACCAGGAGATAAATATTTGACTAACAATGAATTGGTATTTATTGTTAAAATAACATTTAAACTGACGCACAACAAATAGAAGGACGAATTTAAAGTTTATTCGAGTGGAAATTTACGATTAGCGGTCAATGGAAGCGGCGGAAGTGGCGCTTCCCCTATACCTACGTTGAGACAAAAAGAAACGATTTTTTTTAATTAATAATCCATAGAAATTAATATGAATTTCGGTAACGGATTATAATATATACAGGGTGATTCATGGCGATGGCACGTTAGACGTTTACGGAGAAACGGTAACAGAATGTTTCTGAACATTTGGATTTTTACATAAATTTTTTAAATTAAATTTACATATTTTCAGAATTACAATATTGGTAACAAAGAGAGGCCAAAAATTATTTATTTTCGATTATAAACTTATCATACTCCACAATTTTTTTTTTCAAAAATTTTCTGTTGATATTTTTTCCTCAAATAAAATTTTAATAGCATCCCTATAAAGGCTTCTTTATTGTACAGCGTATTTCTTTATTGTGCGTGCTGATTACGCAACCTACTGTCATTTTTAAGCACATTTTTAGGATTTTAATTGAAAAACTTTAATGTTTGTGGTAATTTTTCAGAAAAAATACTCAATTAAAAAGGTGTCCCATAACAAAAGCTACGGTCAGGTATTATTTTTTTAAATATGGTACTTTTCAAAAATAATCAAATAATTGTTATTGCTGAAATTTGATAAATATAATTGTAATGTAAAGAAAGTGAATTTAAATAAATACATTTAATATTAATTTATATCAGAGAAATAAGACAATGTGATAGTAATGAGTAAGTTTATTTATAACTAAATTATTCAAATTAGAAAATACTCAGAAAAAGTATTCCCTTTCGTTATAAATAAACTTACTCATTACTATCGCACTGTCTTATTTCTCTGATATTAATCAATATGTATTTATTTAAATTCACTTTTTTGACATTACAATTATGTTTAACAAATTTTCGGCAATAACAATTATTTGATTATTTTTAAAAAGTACCCTATTTAAAAAAGAATACCTGACCGTAGTTTTTTGTTATGGGATACCTTTGCATTTTTTGTATATTTTCTGAAAAATTACCACAATCATTAAAGTTTTTCAATTAAAATTCTCAAAATGTGCTTAAAAATGACAGTAGGTTGCGTAATCAGCACGCACAATAAAAAAATGAGCTGTACAATAAAGAAGCCTTTAGGGCTCGAACTCACTTATAGAAAATAAAATATTGTGCCTTGAATTTGAGGGATTTCATCTGAAAAAATATTAATTTGGAAGAAAACCGGCAACAAGCGGCAGAAAATAATAATATTTCCGTGCAGTCTTCTGGTCGAAACGACCAACGGACGGCCAGGACGTTAGTGTGCTCTATATCATTTGATTTAATGGTTTTAGAGGTAGCTGCGGCCTGGCCGGTGCGACCTGATCGTCAGTGTGTTCGAGCCCTTATAGGGATGGTATTAAAATTTTATTTGAGAAAAAATATCAACAGAAAATTTTTGAAAAAAAATTGTGACCAAATGCTAGATTATCATAAAAATTACAAAATTAGCAATAACTCAGAAACGGTAAGGAATCGGACATATGTCTATAGGACTTTTTTGTTGGAAATAACCTCCCCCACCTCCTACTTTAATTTTATCCATCATTTTTGGGCCACCCTGTATAAATCTTGACATTAAAAAATCGTAAGAGCTAAGTGAGATGTCATTTTATGAATAAAATAAATATTTTCAAATACCACTTACCGAAAACCGATTCGTTGTCCAGTAAATTTTTCTTGACGTCGCTGACTTCAGTACCGCCCCCGATCACCGAGTCGGGTACCGTCGTTCTCGGCGGTTTACAGATCGGATTAACCTCCGTGATCAGTCCTTTCTTCATATCTAGATGGGCGCTCATGTTGATACACTCGTTCGACGAACTCCCCAGATCCCTACGCTTGCTCGGGAACCCGTGACGGTTCGTCTTTCGACAAAACAGACATGCCATAATCAGAATAATCGCTAGCAGAATAATGAGACCGACGGACAGTCCGATAATCAACGCACTGGACTGACCGATGCCCGTCATCACGCCTAAAAGCAAGTCGCTGTCTATGACAAGTGTGACGTTTTTCTCGTCTTCACCGCCAGGATTTTTCGCTATGCATCTGTACTCTCCCCGGTCTTTGTAACTCAAGTTTGTTATGGTAAGATTGTTCCAAGTGTACTGCCCATTATTGTTCTTAGCAGTAAAGTATTTCTGTTTGTTTTTTCTCGGATCGCGTTCAACGATGTGACCGTTGTTGGTCCAGTCCACGTCGGGTTCGGGCTCACCAAAAACCTTACAAATCAAAGTGATGTTGTTACTGGTCGCTTGAATTTGCGTGGATGCTAACGGTTCTAAAATAACCGGAGAACAGGCAAACTTCTCAGAGGACAACCAAGAAGTTCCCTTCAGTTTCGGCGGTTCTTCACATTCGGTAATATGAGTGATTAGATTATTTTTCTTTACCAGATTTCGAAAAGGTTCCAAGTTACAATCGCACACCCAAGGGTTTCCTTCAACGTTCAGACTGTTTAGTTTCGGAAGGGTGACCTTCAAGTCAAAATCTACCGTCTTCAACTTATTGTATGCTAAGTGTAAATTGCTTAGTAGAGGCAAATTTTGAAAGGAGTTCTTGTTGATGTTCTCAATTTGATTGTGATCGAGAAGCAGTTTCCTTAAGAACATTAAATTTCTAAATAAACCATCTTCAATAACATCAATTCTGTTGTAGCTTAAAGTAAGTATTCGAATTTTGACCAGTTCCGTGAATGTGTCTTTTTTCAAGGTTCGAAAATTGTTTCTGGATAAATCCAGTTCGATTAAAAGCTTCAAGCCGAGAAGTGCACCTTCGTCGATGATATCAATTGAACAATTTTGAAATTTCAGTTTGTGAGTGTCGATGAGTCGAGCAGCTATAAACTCACTGTTGCTGAGCGTGTGCAGGGGATTGTTGGAGAAGTCAATATCGCGAAGTTCGTTGCTCATGTCTTTAGGGATTTCGGAAAAATCCCTATGTGAGCAGTTCGCAGTTTTTTTACCGCTGACCCAAATACAAGAACAAGTATTACAGTTCTTTGTCCAGTCTGTTTCACTGGTCGTTAGATGGACGAACGTCATCAGCATAATGCAGGCATAGAAGTACGTCGATGGCATTGTGGTAGGACAGTCTATTCGTTACTTATCTGAAACAAAAGAGAAACATCGATTAGTTCAAAAGGTAACACTTTATGCAAATCAATTTGCAATGAAATCAAAAAAATATACAATCATTACATGGATGCTATCGTGGTGGAACTAGTTCCATTCCTATAAACATGTCTGGCACAGGAACGAAATGAATTAGTGTTTCTTAAAAGACTAGTTCACGAGATTCGCTCCACAGTTTCGAGATATAAGACACAGGTTACTACAGAAAAGTGTCGTGAATACTGTTTTTATTTTTAGTATCGTTTTTGAATATTTTATTAACTGTTACCTTCATATTTATTTCAATCATTTAGTTCTACCTACAAGTGTTAGTATTAAGTAATTTATTATTTGCTCCAACTCATTTGTAGTATAGTTTGTTAAACTCTGGTTTGAGTTTCTATTTTATTTTTTTGTTCTCATCGACAATAACTTACCTATATATTTTTATATAGTTTTTGATTTGGTAACGAAATAGTTGCTCTACTTGATAACTAAACTAGTCAAAAGGAATTAAGGATAACTTTGATAAATTTCGTTTAAACAAAGAAAATATATTTATTTAAATAAAAAACTCAAAATTTTAGTATGGATGCAGTCAATAATCACCACGTAGGCTAATAAAACTACGTGGTGATTATTGATACTTAAGTTTTGAGTTTCTTCTTAACTTAGTCAGTCACGACTAAACCACCAGCTGTTTTTTATTTAAATATAGAAACTTAGCAATATGTTCCTTAAGATTTAAGTTTAACATACAGAATTGCAAAAACGTACAACATATTAGAATCTAGATCGAGAAAAAATCTAGAAGAATATTAGATCTAGACTTATACTGTAGAGATCGAAATCAATAAGTGCTTTTAAAGCTCAATAAATACTTTAAAAAATTATTAATATATAATATTATTGTTTTCTGAGCGTGCGGTTTTTTTGTGATGGCTTTGAGTATAGTTTAATTTACATTGAAATAGTGTGCGTGATTATAAAATATTAATTTATATAAACTCACCGGCAAAAAAATCCGGCCACCAAAAATTAGACCCAATTTTAAAGTTGGATTTCTCTTTTTTTTTAAATTGAAAATTAATTCCTTTTTAACGGATGCTACGTCAGAAATTTTTATTCCGAATTTATTTTGAGCATATACAGGGCACAGTTTTTTGCCCGAATTTGTAACACCCTGTAGAGTGCAGCAGCTGTAGTAGCTATTGCTAAATCAAATCACATTGTAGTTACATCTTTTGTGAGCATTTTATTTTTTTAATCACCACATTATCTCTTTTTGTATGGAGATATGCTGTTTTAAAACGAACGTCTCGGAAAAATGCTTCGCAGGCATAGAGTTTTATGTGTAAATAATCAAGGCGACATCGACATATAGGCGAAAACGGATTCATGAGTATTTGCAATATGACAACAACGGCTGTCAAATTAAAAAATGCCATTATCTGTAACGGATGTTGCTCGCATTGTGGCTTTAATTGAGAATATTGGTACACCGTAGTTCTACTTTCAGTCGACAGAGTTTCAGCCGAAACCACCTACTCCAGTGTTGCCAGAACTCCGGATTAATCCGTAGATTTACGGATTTTGTGTACTGTACGTTAATAATACGGATTTTCTATTATTAAACAATTTAATATAATATTATATGACTAAACAAAGAACGGCGTTAAAGTTGGCTTTGATATGAAGATCGCTGATATTTCATACGTAAAATATTGCGGTAAATATCAATACTCAATCAGTCATTTCCAAGCCAACTAAACGACTTTTTTCAATCATACGAAATGGTCAGTATCTATAAAGAATTTTTATTTGTGTTGTTTATTCTATGTTTAATACGAATAAATTTTCAATACACAAAGGCGGATTTTTCATCCAAAGATATTTTCGTCAAACGTATTACAGATATTACACATTTTAGTACGGCAACACTGTCTTTGATATGTTTTTGCTAGACGAATTAGAGAAAATGAGTGTTTTATACGTTGGCTGCAGAATGAGTAAAGGCTCCATTGTACAGCACTTGAGACATAAGGGGAAATCAAATCAGACTTGTCATAAAATGGCCCATTAGGTTGTGTCAATCAACGGTAATACTAAATAAATACCATATTATTATTATATATAAGCAATTACACGTTTAGCAGTATTTCGTACATTATAAAAATTATACAGATCATACTATGAAGCATGATTTAAATCAAATAATTTAAATCAAGTGATTTTTTTTAATTTTAATCATGTGATTTAAATAAAAAAATAATTTTATTGAAACTTTATAATCAAAAAATAACTGTAAAAGTTATAAAAATATGTCCTAGAAAACTATAACAAATATTTCTATAACAGATAATAAATCGAAAAATAATAGTAAATTTTATAAAACTATATAAAAATATCTATTCATCAATTTAAAAGTTGAACCGATTTTTGAAGTAATTTCGTGTGAGTTCATAAGACCGCTAAACGTAGGGATTTATTTTAAAATTTATGTATAAGTAACAAAAATTCGCTGTTCGAATACATATCACTTGCAGACTAGTGCAGAACTAGGTTCTTCTGATATAGAGACTATATCTTCATTCCCGAAAATCTATAATCGTTGTCAGAAAATATGTTGTTTTATATTTTTTTGAAACGTTGGTATGTTTCCAAATTCTTACCGACATTTCGATTTGCAGTAAGTACTTTACACTTTGATATTAGATAATACTAATTTCATTCTCGACTTAAGAATATTTCCGAACAATAGTGTATTGTTTTATTAAGAGTAGAAATTATACTTTTTTGACGATGCCTAAAAATACTTTTAGGACGCTTGAAAAAAAAATCCTTTTGATCTGAAGCGAGCGACTTTTTTTGCGGAATATATTGGTAACCGACGTGGAAAAATGACACGCACCGTAGAAGTATTAATGTTATCGGTATCGCACAGAGTTATAAAGATTTAACCATTTAGGATAGGACATTAATTGGAAATAAGTCCTAGTCATTTAGAAATCCGATTTAAATATTGTTTTGAATTAAAATAAAAAAAAATCTGATTAAAATAAAAAAATCTGATTTTTTATTTTTTTAAAAAAATCATGATTTTTTCCAACCCTGTTACATGAATAGTTCTGACAAGATTTGTAATGCAATAGTTCTGATTTAGACCTATAACGAAACACAACGAAACACATGAGCGATAAAAGTAGTGATGAGAATACCGGTTCCACATGAGTCGTGTTACAATAGCGACCGTTCCAGAAAAATTCCGCGACAAAATACCGCGAATTTTTAACCGAGGTTCCGACTTCCAAAGTGACACGCTTATGCAGTATTTCTGGCATTAGTACCTACCTACTCCCAACCAGTGTTGTCAGCTTCTTACAATTCTACTAGCTGCTACAACCAGTCGTGCCATAAACTTAGATATAACTGAATATTGGAGATGGAGAATTGCCCTCTATAAAACCGTCCTAGATACTGGCTTTTGTCAATAAAAACTTATATAAACGTATAAAAAAAACGCAAATAAAATATTTGTATTTTATTTTATTTGCTTTTGCGTTTCATCTTTCAAACAACGCTATTTTATACCATGCCTAGTACATACCAAAAATCGCTATTTCGAAAGTAACGTAGCGACGCGACGGGAGCACCAAAGCCAATAGTAACCGACCAAATCGCGACAGGCAAAACCGGAACCCTAGAAGCGCTCCAGCGACTGCTGGAACGAAGTACGTCGCCACCCAGGTCGAGCGTCGATAATCAGTTACAGCAGGGACCAGTTACTTTTCTGTTCGTGACAGACGGAACTACGATTCTTGGAGTGCGATGGCTGGAGCGAAGTACGTCGCCGCCGAGGTCGAGCGTCGATAATCAGTTACAGCAGTTACCAGTTACTTCTGTTCGCGACAGGCGGAACTACGGCTCTAGGAGCGCGACGGTAGGTATATACCAGTTCCAGTTACAACTGTTGGCGACCGACGAAATCGCGACGGCTGGAGCTAAACACGTCGCTATTATAAATAACTTATAAGTATTATAATTATATATTATAATAATTTATTATATATTATATATAACATATATATCGTCGTTCTTCAGTAACAGGTTCCTGATTCGTTGTGAAGCGCGACACGACGTTACAAAAAAAATACAGCTCCAAAATCGCGTTATTCAAATACCGACACATCACTAGCTCAAAGAATGTCAAAATTAGTATTGTCATCTCTAGATTAACAATTATAATGACGTTAGTAAAGTAAAAAAAGTATACTTTAGTTAAAACATATATTAGAACGTACAAAAGAAACTATTTAAAGTATAAAGAACATATATTATATATTTTCTCCCTATAGAAAAAGCGGGTCATGAGAATTTAATTTCAAAAGATCTATTTGCCCACACAAACACATACGGCACTAAAATATTTAAGCCATCGAAACAGTTCCCCAAACTATCAAAAACCGACCACGTATGCGGTATTATTAGGTTGTTTCTGGTGACGTGACCCCGGTTTCATGTAAACTTTCGAAACTTCCGACGGTTTGTAAAATAAACGTTGTCCAGTGGCTTGGAAAAAGCTGGTCGAATTAGAAGGGCGAGTGTCTTACGTGACTTATGACAGATTGAATTTAGAATCGATTGAAATAACGACGACGTCGCGCGTCGTGCAGCTTATTCTGATGTATTTCCTTTTAAAAAGTCCGGGTTGCGAAATTTAAAATAAGGTATCTTTCTATAACAATCTTCATTCCAAAAAATCATTAGTATAAAATAAATAGATAAATTATTAATATAAGCTAATCATAACGAATTAGGGATCACATAAATCTGTATTTACTGTTTATATACTCCGTATATTTATAGCAGCGTATCATCAGAACAATTTTGCTTTTTTTCCATGCATAAGTTCATACAAAATAGATATTCTCTTTCCCGTCATAGAAAATAACAATAAAGACGCACTCGAAGACACATAAATTCCATAAAAT